AAAAAAAAAAAAGATAAACTATGATGGGAGAGTAACTTTAGAACCCAACAAAGGATAAAATTGACTGTGTTTCAAATATGATTAAAGAAGTTGTGATTACAACCCAAGGAAAAATGGTCACCAGGCCTCAGGAGAGACCCTAAGTCAGAAGCACCCAGATGAGCTGTTCTTAGAATCTTGACCCTCAGAAACCATGCTAAGTAACAAATATTTGTTGCTTTTAGCTGCCAAGTTTTGGAATAATTTGTTATGTAATGCTGGATAAAAAATACATTGTACCAGCCTAAAAATAATCTTATTTCCCCTCTTGCTACCATTTTTTCTTCCTCCTCTCTTCACAGTCAGGCTCCTCCAATGGATGGCATGTATAGCACTGGTTGGCTACAGCATACACACACAAAGATTTGCCAATGGGTTACATGACATGTGTGGTTTTAGGAGTGTGAGTTTCCAGATGCTCACCCTAATATTTAATCTTTCTAGAGCTGCTCTGCCTAGGAAGGAGCCAGCATTTGAAGCTTTATGCAAATTCTTTTTTCACAGTAACCTTACTTCTCCTTATTACAAGAGTAAAATCTTACTTTTTATTCATCCTGAATATTACATTGCCCAGTAAAGTTTACTGCTTGGGAATTAAAAATATCTCCAAGGGGCTAAATGAAAGGACGAAGTGTTGGTATCCGTTTTTAAAGAGTAAATGACATTAATGAATGGGTAAGAAAAATTTTTTTCAAGCTGAGTAGTTTCCAGTTCTTTATTTTCAATATAAATTAAAGGAGGATCTAATCAAATTGTCAGCTAATATATGTTTTAAAATAATTTTTTGCATAGATTCATAAAGAGTCAAAGAATTGAGTGACATTGCCATAATAAAATGTTTTCATTTCCATCTACTTATGTAGATGAGAAGGTTGCTCAGTGCTTACAGCAACAAAATGAAAACAAGAAGATAATTGACTCTAATTTCTGTTGCATTCTAGAGGATGTAATTTTCATCCATGGATACATAAATTAACTTTTTTTTAAATTAACATTTTTAAAATAGCCCCACCTACCCCATTAAGAGATGCATTTCCATTTTATTTCTGTTTAATAATTATCAAAATTTGTAACGTATTTGTTGTTTTTGTTAGATGTGACTAAAAATTGTATTAGTAACTTAATCCTGAAGAATGAAGAGCTTACTATTTAGAGACTTATAGTTCCAGGAAAATAAGAAAAAAGTTAAAGCTCGGGCAGCACCTGTGGCTCAGTGAGTAGGGTGCTGGCCCCATATACCAAGGGTGGTGGGTTCAAACCCAGCCCTGGCCAAATTGCTACAAAAAAATGGCCAAGCATTGTGGCGGGTGCCTATAGTCCTAGCTACTCAGGAGGCTGAGGCAAGAGAATCACCTAAGCCCAAGAGCTGGAGGTTGCTATGAGCTGGTGACACCACAGCACTCTACTGAGGGTGACAAAGTGAGGCTCTGTCTCTAAAAAAAAAAAAAAATTAAAGCTCAAGTTATGTGTCTGTGTTTTTGTGGAGAATCATCACAGATGATCAATGAAAGACTTTCTGAACATACAACAACATTACATTAGAATGAAATTCTGTGGGGGAAAAATGAAATAATGTAAAATTCCTAATGTTATGGAAGAATTTGTTCTTACATTTTTGTAAATACTTGATGAAAGTTTTCAAATTAGTAGTATTTAAGAGTTCATTGGGCTCAGCACCTGTGGCTCAAATGGCTAAGGCGCCAGTCACATACACCTGAGCTGGCGGGTTTGAATCCAGCCCAGGCCTGCCAAACAACAATGATGGCTGCAACCAAAAAATAGCCAGGCGTTGTGGTGGGCGCCTGTAGTCCCAGCCACTTGGGAGGCAGAGGCAGGAGAATCGCTTGAGCCCAGGTATTGGAGGTTGCTGTGAGCTATGATGCTATGGCACTCTACCCAGGGTGACAGCTTGAGGCTCTGTCTCAAAAAAAAAAAAAAAAAAAAGAGTTCATTGAATAGATTTAAAAGGGATATAACGTAGTTTTTTAAAAATGTGAATATTTGAGCCATTGCTGTAATGCTAGCACTCTGGGAGGCCGAGGTAGACAGATTGCTTGAGCTCAAGAGTTTAAGACCAGTCTGAGTCAGAGGGAGACCCATCTCTAAAAACAGCCCAGTGTTGTGGTGGGTGCCTGTAGCCCCAGCTACTTGTGAGGTTGAGGCAGGAGGATCTCTTGAGCCCAAGAGTTTGAGGTTGCTGTGAGCTATTACAATGCCATTACACTCTACACAGGGTGACAGAGTGAGATTCAGACTCCTAAAAAAAAAAAATTAAGACACAGTTTAGTACTTTTTCCACTTCTGGAATCTTGGTCACTCCACAGCTCTCTGTCTTCCTTACTCGGTCCACAGCTGTACAGAAAAGCCAAGTTCAGCTTGGCTTATTTTTCTGTGGTGAGGGACTTTGTCACCTCTGTTACAGACTGTCCTTGTAATAGCCACTTCCAAAACTATGTTTTTGATTTTTTTGAGACAGAGTCTCTGTCACCCTGGGTAGAATGTTATCTTCATAGCTCATAGCAACCTCAAATTCTTGGACTCGAGTGATCCTTTCAGCCTCAGCCTCTCCCATAGGTGGGACTACAGGCACCTGCCACAATGCCCAGCTAGTTTTTCTATTTTTAGTAGAGAGGGTAGGGGTCTCACTCTTACTCAGTCTGGTCTGAGAAACTGCCCTTCTACATAAAAGAAGCCTGGATGCCTCACTGGCCCATGAGGAGTTGGAACAAACTTCCAGAAAGCCCACCTTCTTTAGCTGCTCTCAGTGTCTGTGAGGCCCTGAGCTGATTTTCCGGGTCCCTCCACCACTGGAGGCTCCTGCTAGAGGCCTATAGTCCTGTGGCTGCCCCTGAGCAGTGATCGTGTGACCACACAGACTCGCCTGTGAGCCCTGGGGCCTCTGCTCTTCCTTCCTTCACTCTGAAGCACCTGTAGTCGCTCAGCTTCCACTTCTTTATCAGTCCACAGAGAGGTGGACTTCGGGTGGCACAAGGTGACAGGGTTGCTGTGCTCCTGACCCTATGCTGTGCCTACTACTGGTTCTTGGGATCCGGATCTCCATAAGGAAACTTTACCCTGGAGATGCCATAACATGGGCTCATCACACTGCAATCCTCCCATTCTCTGATGCTCTAATACTCTTCACACTGACGAGGATGGTGAGCATCACTTCTGCAGCATCCCTTGAGGCTGAGTGACTCCATCATACAGGGATGACACACAGGCACCAGTTCTGCTGTGTCAACGGCCAGGCCAGCCTGGACCACCCACAGAGGCAGGTCCAGCCCTGATGGGGATAGGGCACAAAGCAAGTGGCACCTGGGCCAGTGTTTGTCTCCACAGTGTCTGTGATTGATGAGGATTCCCGAGTCTGGTTTTTCTGAGTTACTCCCATGAATCTGACCACTATTAGGCCCTGGTTGGGATGGTGCCACCACCATTAATACAGCCTTTCCCTGGTGCTGGAGAAGGTTATGTTCTAGGAAACAAGGAAGCATTCCCCACATCAGGTCTGTGCCCTCCACAGCAGGTCTGTGGGTCTGCATCCTCCCACAGTGGGTCTCTGTTCCCCCCACAGTGGCTCTGTGTCCCCCCGACCAGGGGGTTGTGTCCTCCCACAATGGATCTGTGTCCTCCCACAGCAGGTCTGCACCCAGCAACCCTAGTGCTGGGCTGGACCAGGAAGCCCCCTCTACACATGCCTGACCCACAGGCCTGCTGGTTCTTCCTTGTGAGCTCTGTGTCAGCTCTGCTGGCTTCCTCCCACTGTGGGTCCCAACAGTTGCCTTCTGGCTATGGACACACCACTTTGCCTCCTTGCTCATCATGATCCCTGCTGAGTCCCCATATCCCTTATCATAGTAGATGGGTCTCAATAAAGCAACAACTGTCCGAGAAGTTGAGTCCTGCCTTCCACTCTCGCATGTCTAACTGTCCAGCTAATCAGAGGCACTCCCCTTGCATAGAAGTAATATCTCACCATGACCACTGCTTTGAGCTCTTGGCATCATGCAGGAGTGAGGGGAGAGGAGGAGAAGGAAGTGGAGGGCAAGGATATCTGGAAATAGGATCTGAGAGTATGAGAGGGCCATGTGTCCTCTCCAGGGTCCTTCTAGCCAGCAAGAGCAACAGCAGGGCTCTGTTCAGGCCCCTCTCCATCCTCCAGGTTCAGGCACTTGCCCATCCTCCCCCATCCTGGGCTAGTTGCTGCCTCTGCCCCTGGGCACCTCAGGGCTACCTGGTCAGGCCAGAGGTAGAAGTCCCAGAGTTGGCATGCTGTGAGGCAGCACAGAATGACTTGGGAAGTCTGTGCCCACACAGAGGTCATCTGGGAAGGCCTGAGGTCTATCTGTAACTCTGCTGGCCCCACCACATGCAGGGTCTCTGACACAGGGCATCATCTCTGTCCCAGCACTGACTGCCACAGGGATGCTGAAGTGTGTGTTCAGTCAGACCCACGAGAACAGGACTGGGGCTAGGTGCTGGGGGTGGAATGGATGAGACAGTGATGAGACCCCAGACAAGTGAATATGTGATAATTACCCAGTTGGGGCTGGCACACAGCTTCTCAGAGATGTCACCTTCTCTCTTCTTTAGGACCCCAGGTGCCTCTCCCTCCTAAAACGAAAGACCTGGTCACTCAGGCCAAAATGAAACTGTTCCCTCTGTGGCTAAAACATCACACCTTGTAGACAAGTCTTCCTCGAAACTATCTTATCTCTACAGTCTGTAGACAGTGCACCCCAGGGTTCTCAGGCTGAGAGCTCCCCACCTTTACTCATCTCACCACTGCTTAAGCCTCTGCCCATCCAACATGGCCAATTCCTGCCACAGCCTCCAACAAGGGCCACTGCATTGCTACTCCATTAATGATAGCAGGACACCCTCCCCATCCAGCACACCAGCTAGAGGCCAGAAGCTCATCCTTGACCTTATCTGATCTAATTCGTAGCCAGTTGATGCTCACTCTGATGCTGCCTCCAGGTGGCATCCCTCCTTCTCTTCCCTCCTCCTTCCCAAGACCCTCTGGATACCGCCCTCTGGATTCAGACAATCCTGAGTCTGCTGCCACCTACCAGTGTGATCTCAGCAAAACTATTTTTTGAGGCCTCACTTTCACAGACTAAAAAAATAGTTTTATTAACAGTGTCTACCTCATAAGGTTGACATTTAGTCAAATAACAAATGTACATAAAATGCTTAGAATAGTACTTAGCTTAAAGTAAGTCTCAATGCATGTCAGCTGCTGTTGTTACTATTATTACCATTGTTAGAGCCTTAACATCTCCCACTTGGGCTAGTTAAGACACCTCCAACCGGCTCAGCACCCGTTGCTCAAGTGGCTAAGACGCCAGCCACATACACCTAAGGTGGTGGGTTCGAATCCAGCCCGGGCTGCCAAACAACAATGATGGCTTGCAACCAAAAAATAGCCAGGCATTGTGGCAGGTGCCTGTGGTCCCAGCTACTTGGGAGGCAGAGGCAAGAGACTCTCTTGAGCCCAGGAGTTGGAGGTTGCTGTGAGCTGTGATGCCACAGCACTCTACACAGTGGGACAGCTTGAGCTCTGTCTCAAAAAAAAAAAAAAAAAAAAAAAGACACCTCCAACCCAGTCCCTCAAGGAGGTTAAGGACCAGGAATGGAAAGTGAAAGCACAGTGGCCACAGTGGTATGGAATCGTCTATGGTCAGACGATTTGTGGAATCGTCTATGGGAACATTTGTCCCTTGAAACAACTGATGATGGGAGAAGCACCAACCAGAATAGCCTCATAACCAGGCACAGCCATGGATGATGAGATCACCCTCTCCCTGCAGCCAGGGCTTCCAAGGGACCCAGGCAGAGAGGTGGTACTGTAGGGATGGAGGAGCCTATGGAAAACATCTCATTCAATTTTCTGATTTTTTGGATGGCAAAACTATTTTCGTGTGGGGATAAAGCACTTGCTTGTGGGCAATTTTACTTAATAAAAATGTATCTGGGCCACTCTGTATTTAGCCGTGCACTGGGTGCTGGACACACCACTAGTGAAGTGAAGAGCTTGGATCCAACCCAGGTTTCCACTAACTCACACCAACTTCAGAGAGAAGAGCCTGCTAAAAATAATGCTTGCATTTCTGTGAGCTACCAGAGGGAAACAACCAGAATTCCGTATTGCCCATAAATCACCATAAGAAATTCTTTCATCTAGAAGCTGGAATGTGAAACACCAAGTTGAACTGTAAGGAGGACATTTGCAAGAAGACTGAAAAACATTCAGCCACAAACACTAATAAAAACACATTCTTCCACGCCAACATTTGCCCTTTGAACACACAAACACAAACTGGGCTGTGCACTCAGCATCAGAGCAACAATTCTGTCACATACCCCATGGTTAACACTTAGAGTCTTTTAGTTTCTGTAGAGGAGAAAGAAACATTGACAATAAATTGTCATTTTATAAATGATGAAACTAAAGCTTTAGAGAAATCTGTAAGGAATATCTTTCCTGGATAGCCTCACTTCTATGCCATAGGGTGGCAATTAAAAAAAAGTGTTTGCTTAAAGCTTATATGTGCTTTAATTAGAAAAGTCCTCCCCCCAATTATTTTTTTTTGAGACAGAGTCTCACTTTGTCACCCTGGGTAGAGTGTTGTGATGTCATAGTTCACAGCAACCTCAAACTCTTGGGCTCAAGTGATCCTCCTGCCTTAGCCTCCTGAGTAGTTGGGACTATAGCCACCTGCCACAATGCTTGGCTATTTTTAGAGAGAGGGTCTCACTCTGGCTCAGGCTAGTCTTGAACTCCTGAGCTCCAGTGATCTACCTGCCTTGGCCTCTCATAGTACTAGGATTACAGGTGTGAGCCACAGCCCCCTGGCCTCCAAAACATTTTTTTAACCTTTTGTGTGTCATAGGCACCTCTGAGAATGGACTGAAACCTGTGAATTCTTCCCATAGGGCACAAACATAATTTTGCATGTAATCTTAGAAATAAATCCATGTAGTCCTTAGAAATTCCTGAGACAAAGCTAAAGAAAAGTTGCTTTCAGGTGTTGGCTGTACAGTATTGCAAAATGGTTCAAAGCAGCTTCGTCGGCACAGCTCAAACTTTCCTGGTGCAATCTTTCTACTGGAAGCTATATGCATAGTAAGTGAATAGTGATTGTAATGCTGTTTTTCAGGATTTGACTCAAAGTATGAAATTATGATTCATCAGCATGTATATGCAGATCAAAGTAAAAAGTATTTACCAACTCAATACTATAGTGAGATAATATCAATCTAGGATTCCAAATAGTTCCAACAAATGGGCTCTGAACCAAAAATACTATAAAAGCATATTGCAAGAATCACCAGCCTCTCCCTAACTTTATTAAGCCTCACTCACGCTTTGTACCAAATGCAAATCCTCACTTCCAGAATACAGAAAACATTTACACTATTGATTGTAATTTAAACATTTTCAACTTACCATATATCTCCTCCCACCTAAAGGAAAGATACTGTATAAATACTGTGGCATTAAGTAGAGATTCTAATAATACAATTTGCATTGGAAGAATATTACTACCACACAAGTTACCTGCTAAGGGTCCATAAATGCCTCTTTTTTTGATTTCTCAGAAGACTCACACTTCTGCTACAAGACTGGTCTCTGTCTGACAGGCAGGCTTTCTTTCCTGGTGACCTTTGTATGCCTGGCAGGCTACCCCTGCCTATTTCAAAACAAGAATTCTGCAAGTGGCACCACATGAGCTGGCTCCAGCCACAAATAGTAACAGGCCTGCCATGAGTGAAAGTCCAAATATAGGCCTGCTGCAGCTATCTTGCCACCTCTCACTGCTCAAGTGTCACCAGCAGAGGTCACGGGTGGGGCTCTGAGTTACTCCTTTTACTGTTGGGGTTGGAGACCTATGGCTCCCTCAAGGGACTCAGATAGCTGGTCATGCAGAGAGGACTGGGGACTGTCACAGCAAGGCCAGGAAGGAGACTTCCGACACCCTTGTGCCTTCCACCCGGGCTTTCCTGGGTCTTCTCCCGGTTTGAGCAAGCACAACTTAAAACGTACTCAAAGGCTAGAATTATCCACCCCTCTGGATGAAAATCCATCAGATCCAATCATTTTCTTCTCCATCTTAGGTGACACACAGTCCATAGGGTCACTTGGAGTCATAGTCTCAAATTCAGTCATTGAATGTCTATGTCACCACATTAACCTGGTTGAACCAGCATCAAAATCATCTTCCTTCCCCAGCTTGGGCCTTTTTAGCGGGAAGCCTGCCCTGGACCTCTCCTCCTCATACCCTCCTTGAGCTGCTGGTTTGGATGCCAGGGCAAAAGAGCTAAGGTGATGCAATGGCTAGTCTTTGCACAGATGCCACAGTGGGAGCTGACTTAGATCTCTGTGGACCTGGAAGATGCTTACAGCTGACTCCCTCTCTCATGAGGAACTTTTTGTAAATAAATCTCTGGAGATTCCCACTGTGAAGATCTCTTCCCCGAAGTTCTCACAACCAGGTTGAAAGGTCTTCTATGTCAAGGGGTCTTTTTGTTTTTGTTTTTATTTTTAGAGATGGAATCTTGCTACATTGCCCAGATTGTTCTTAAACTCTTTTACTGTATTTATCTATACCGTAAATTTATGTTATCCGCTTACGAGATGAATCCTCTATCTGAAATGGTGGGCAATTCAGCTGCAAACCTCAATCTATGGCACATACCAACCAATTCAACTTTCTCTTGTAATGTCCTGATTTTTCTCTGCTTCTTGGGAACACTTCCAATATCACTAGTGGCATTTCACATGGGTCCCCTGATGTTATTCAAGGTTTGTGGTATAAAACACAATGAGAAATATGAGAGAGCCAAGAGAGACACTTTTTAGTGTGATATGCAATTTACTGGATAGATAAACTGCTCCCATGGAGGTGATTAGTGTCACAGGGCATCAAAGCAGATATAACACTGAAGTTCACCACAGTAGCAACAGGAGGTGGTTACCAAGTTATTACAGCAGTATAGCAGAATGTACTTCCTTTAATTTCATGCAGTCAGACTGAGTACAGCATCTTTACATTTGTTTACGTTTTTCTTGACAGAAGATGGCTTTGTGGATGGTCTGTGTTTGCGTAGTTTTGATAAATTGTAACTTTCTTGGCTTGGTGCCTGTGGCTCAAGCAGCTAAGGCGCCAGCCACGTACACCTAAGGTGGCGGGTTCGAATCCCCAGCATGGGCCCGCCAAACAACAATGATGGCTACAACCAAAAAAAATGGCTGGGCGTTGTGGCGGGCGCCTGTAGTCCCAGCTACTTGGGAGGCTGAGGCAGGAGACTTGCTTGAGCCCAGGAGTTGGAGGTTGCTGTGAGCTGTGATGCCATGGCACTCTACCCAGGGGGATAGCTTTAGGCTCTGTCTCAAGGAAAAAAAATTGTAACTTTCCTTAATAGAGTTGTATATATATTATGGTGGTAAATGATAAAATAGACTAGTAGTATACATTTTATGCATTCATGATATAATTTTTCTTCTTTATTTTGCAATATTTTTAGACTTCATAGTTCGTCTGTGAGTTTTTTCAAATTGTCACAAATCTCCAAAAATCTTCCCAATATGTTTATTCAATACAAATCCACATATATGTAGGCCTGCACAGTTGAAATCCATGTTATTCAAAGGTCAATTCTATCTTCTTTGCTCATCAGAAGTCCATGAAGCATGAGTCAGATTTTGGACCATTTTCTTTGAAAGCCTATATATAATGATTCAATCTTGTAATTTTATATCGATTGTTTTTGGGGGCATTTTAAAAACAGTGTCACAGAAGTGTATCCCCAAAATAAAAACGTTGGAAGCAAAATAAAATACAAAAAGCAAAAAAAAGTTGAAAAAATTATGCAAAGATGCATGTACAAGAATGCTCAGCACAACACTTCATATTGGAAAAATATTGAAATTAGCCTATGTCTATCAGTGGGGAATTTATTAGGTAAATCATGATGCAGTTAACCCAATATTGGAAAGTATTAAAAATAATGACCTTGATGTCTTTTTTTTAATATGGAAAATGCCTGTGATATATTTGTAAGCAGACAAAGAATATGCAAAATATTGTTACAGTATAATAACACACACAGAGTATTAGAGTTTTCTAGAGAAATAGAATCAATGTAATACATACATACATGGAAAGAGAGTTATTATAAGAAATTGGCTTATGTGATTATAAAGACTGACAAGTCCCAAGATCTCCATGTGGTAAACAAGATGAAGAGCCAGGAAAGCCAATGGTGTAGTACCAGGCCTAAGGCCAGCAGGCTTAAGGCCCAGGAGAGCTAGGGTTTCAGTTAGGGTTAGAGGCAGGATAACAAAGGTAACCCAACTGGAAGGCAGTTGGACAGGAGGAATTTCCTCTTACTCAGCCTTTTTGTTCTGTTCAGACCTTCAACTTATTGGAAGAGGCTCACTCACATTAGAGATAGCAATCTGATTTACTCAGTCTACCCATTCAACAGCTAACTTCATCCAGAAACACACAGATCAAATATCTGGGCATCCTGGTGGTCTAGTCAAGTTGACACATAAAATTAGCCATCACACATATAGAAACATATGCTATAGAGTATGTTCCTTCCAAATTCAAATGTTGAAACATAATCACAACATCACAAAATCCCAAAACTACAGATGTTGGCATGGGTGTGGAGAGAAGGGAACAGTTCTACACTGCTGGTGGAAATGCAAGCTAATACGACATTTTTGAAAAGAAGTTTGGAGAACACTCAATGAATTAAAAGTAGACCTACTGTTCAACCCTGCAATTCCTGTACTAAGTATATACCCAGATGATCACAAATCATTTTACAACAAAGACATTTGCACTAAAATGTTTATTGCAACCCAATTCATAATAGCCAAGACATGGAAATAGCCCAAGTGCCCATCGACCCATGAATGGATTAACACATTGTGGTATATGCACACCATGGAATACTATGCAGCCATAAAAAGACAGAGACTTCACATCTTTTATGTTTACCTGGATGGAGCTGGAACATATTTTTCTTAGTAAAGTATCTCAAGAATGGAAAGAAAAGTATCCAATGTACTCAATACTATTATGAAATCAATATATAACCACTTACACACTCATAGGAATGGCAAAACATAACTATAGTCCAGAAAGTAGAAGGGAAGAGAAGAGAGAGGGGAGGGAGTATATGGGCAGAAGGAGGGTATTTGGGGGACCTTACCTAATGTGCATGATGCAATGGTACATTTCAAAACTATTAAGAAATGAGTATAATTGTGATGGATGTGTTACTTAGTTCAATGTAAACATTTCACATTGTATATTAAAGCAGTACCCTGAACCTCATAAGTGCATCAATGTACAAAGTTATGATTTAAGAAAAAATAATTTAAAAAAATAAAAAATAGCCTGTCAGAGGCCCCTGAGCAAAGGAAGAAAAACTGGACAGAATCAGACTCTACAAAGCCAAATACAGGGAGCTGAGCCAAGAAAGATGTTCAGCAAGCTCTAACTCCAAGGAAGAGCTTCAAGAAAACAAATTACAGGTACAAAGCCTATTGACTAGAGGACGGGAGACCCCTCTCCCAAGCAGGAGGCCTGCCGCAGGCTATCTGTGAACAAGCAGGGAACAAAAGACCTCTCATTTTACCTTGCTGGAGAGAGCTGCTAAACTCCAGGTCTCTTTCTCCAGGGAGGTCCCACTTATGAACCTAGATACCACCTTGCCAGGCATAAAATTGAACAGATATTTTTTCCCACAAGTCCAAACTCCCAGTCCACCCTTTCCCCCTTGCATGGTGGTCTGAAGTTCAGCCCCCTACAGAGTGCAGAGTGTTTGGTTTTGTCCTGAGAGACCTGGGCATAATGTGGACTGGGATGAAATCTGTGACTAACGGGGAAGAAAGAGGGTGTGGGAAGAAAGGGACACTCGGTGTGAGGTGGAGCAGTCCCCTGGTTATGACTATATGACTATGCCTGGCCAGTGGTAGTGTTTGGCCCTTGGTTTGGGCTATGTCTGGTGGGATGGGGTGCAGAACCCCCAGCTCTGACAGCACCCACTGCAGGACAGTGGTTGCCCCGTGTGGTTGGCTGACAGGGCTGGTCCCTGCTGAGCTTGCAAGCAGAGGCTTAATAAGTGTGGACTGTGACCTGAGAGCAGGAGTGTGGTCTCCTGATCCAACAGAACCCTGGAGCAGTGGCTTACTGGGTGTGAACCAAGCCCTCAGGGCTAGAAATACTCCACTTCCTCCAGCAAGGATGGTAAGCAGAGGCTTATCAGGTGAGGACTAAGACCTTCAGGCAGAGTGTGGTGCTGTGACTCTAACAGAGCCTGCAATTAGAGGCTTGTCAGGCAGTGGACTGAGAATGGCAAGAGGGGGTGTGGTCCCCTGACTCCAACTGGTTTGGCAGGCACTACTCCAGACCCTACTCCAGAAGCTAGCTGTGTGTGGACTGAGACTGGTGGGTGGGGGCGTTACCCCTGGCTCTAGCTGGGTCTGTGAGCAGAGAAGCAGACAATAGTGTGGACTGAGTCTGGCAGGTGGCAGTGTGGATCCCTGGCTCCAATTGTGCTTTGAATCCCTTTGCTTTAATTGCCCTTGAATCCCTCTGTTGGGCAGGGTTTCTACTGCCAGAGAAATTTGGT